CACAGTGTCTCACATAATACAACAGATATTAAAGTAGGAGTCGCAGTATTCACAGTGTCTCCCTGTTTTAAAAACTGTCAAGGTTTCGTTCACGTGCAAGCCAACGTGAACACGAATGGGCCTTGCGGTTTCCTCCCACCGAACAACTAGATCGACGTTTCTTGTCAGTCCTGCAGACGTTACCAGTAACAGGTCAGAACCCGGATTGGGAAAATCTCGAAGGTTCTTCGATTCAAACACGGGGTTCGAATCCGGGACATTCTTGCTGATAGGTCAATGGCCAGTGCCCTACCGCTCGGCCCCTTCCCCGGCACTATGATAAAGCACCAGTAAACACATAGCCAACAGGGGTGGGGCTAATGGTTAGCGGGTTGGCGTTGGATCAGAAGGTCTCTGTCATTGAGTCAAGTTCCGTGGTTACGATTCCACGCTTGTACGTGACAAGGCGTGGTTTTCTCCGGGTCCTCGAGTTTCCTCCCACTGCTAAAGACCCCTATACGCAAGCGAAATATTGAAATAAAATAGAACCATATGTTAGTCCTGAAATGATATAGTTTTGTCGAGTGGACGTTAAACCCCGTCTTCATTAGCCCAGTCGGAGCAGAACAGTGGGACGTTAAACCTTATTTCATTTCACTTCATAAACAGCAGAATTACTGAAACGGATCGAAATTGATACAAAACACTCCAATATGATATGCTGGTCTTACTCTAAATGATACATAACCCCGACACATCACTTTATTCGCTAAAAGAAGCCCAAGACTCCCCATAAAAGTTCATACTTGAATATACCATTCAGAAAATATAATCGGCGATTTAAATGATAACAAAAACTCCGATACAGCAGTTTATTTGTTAAAATAAGTCAAAATTCCTCATATAAAAATATCAGTTCATATTAAAATATGCCATTCAGAACTGTAAATGGCGGTATTTCCTACACCTGATACTTGTGATTTGATAAAAATATTTGCTCTAATGTTTTCTGGTAAGTGATAATATATTTTCATATAGATAGTTATATTATAATATACCATAGTTAGCGGGGTGTTATTACAGATATAGCATACTTCTGATTAGTTTTATGTTTCATCGATAATTTCAAAGAAAATGCAATCTTTGGTACCATTAACATTCTCCGTTATATACACTTCTACTCTTTTAACATGGTTTCGTAATTTTACTCTAATTCAAGCTCTATTATGTTGGGGTTTCCCCCTTCTATGGATATGTCAATACTGTAGGATAACGAAACAGAAACGAGGGTTTAACGACCTTTAGACACTAATTGGGTCATTTCGGGACTGGCATAACATCGTTGTTTAAATAATTCGCTTGCTTTTGAAGTGGGAGTGGGAGAAAACCATTACCCTCCCCCCCCCCCACACACACACACAAACACATCCCACAAATACGTCCTTGATACAGTTTCTTCCAATATAGTATTACTTATTGCAATACAATGGTTCACTTCCGGTCAAGTCATTAAGCATTCATATGCAATGTCAAGGTCGTATGCATGCGTTATGCATACGACTTGAACTTGAACGCAATGTCAAGGTCTTTATGCATGGCCAAATTACAAGACAGAATTGTAGTTATGACCTAAAGAATAAATCATAAGTTCCGACAATGCTCAATGTCAGGGGATTTTACAACGGCAGTGCCCTGACTCATCCACTAAAAGTACATTAGTTTTTTTTATAACGCATCGATATCTCATCTGGAATATCATTTTTTCTAGCAAATATATCATAAATAAGTTTGTATTAAAATATCCAGATAAAAGAGAACCTACTAACAGAAATGTCAGTGATCGAAAGTTCATCTACAGCTATAGGATTATATATCGCTTTAATCTGAGTTACAGTTATTTAAAGTGAAAATTAATATCCTATATGTATTTACACTAGCGATTAATCAGTTTTATGTAAACAACTCATCTATAACGCATCTCATTCGTACTTTTACCCGTTGAAGATGCATTCTGTAAAAGCTAAATCTGCCTATCGCAGGTCTTTAGTTTGGTTTCAAATATTATCTGAACTATTATTTAGATATTCGTTCCACAGTCAAAACTAAAACCTTTTGGTGACAGAAGTTTTGGTGTAGTTGCTCCTAAATTGTAGAATGATTTACCACTGAAAATCCGAAACAGTGAAACTTTGACTATCAAATCTCAGCTGAAGACTCACTTATTTTGGGAATGCCATGAGAATTAGACTTTCTATTCACTGTGTATATAACTATTGTCTCATTAAGCTTTGAGCATGCTTTTGGATGGATTTGGCGCTCTACAAAAGTACATTATTATTATTATGCTCAAGACCATCGGATGGTAAAGATTTAAATGGATCGGTATTGAATAATTTAATTTAAAAAAGGAAAATCGAGACTATGTCTGGAATGTCAAGTACCGTTGCTATGATAATAAACAATCTATAATACAATTTCAAACACTAATAATATATTCATTTTCATTATCTATTATTGAACAATTAAAGCAAGAACGACCAGCTCTTTATCTATTTTTGAAGTAAGAGAGTGTCCCGTAAACACACAGAGAATTCTACTACAAAATAAGCTTTATTCGTTATTTTATAAATCACTATAGTAATCGTCTTTCAAATTTATTTATATATTCAACATTTATACTCTTTTTAACCCGATTAAATCAAAGCCAGGAGATTATCTTTAGTTCATATTTGGATTTTGTTGTCTTAATTAACATAAATTATGCAAGAGCTAAATCTGCCTATTGCAGGTCTTTATTTAGGCCTGAAATGTGATCTAAATTATTAATTAGACATTAATTAACTTGTCCAGACCATAATCAACTCTCGATGTCATCGCTAGCCAGATTGCGACATTTAGTGGATTTGAATACGTTTTGTGATGGATGATTTAACATAAAAATGGATAATCGAGACTTTATTTATTATCGTACTAATAGTAGTAATAACGATCGAGGCTAGCCTAAAATTGAATCGCGAATATATCTCGGTTCATAGTGAAGCAATTTGATTGAAATTTTCAGCATATTCTGTTTTCATTAGCTATTGTTTTTAACTATTACAGCGAGAAATATCAGCACTTTGTCTAACCTTATCTAATGCCCCTATAAATAAATATTATACAAGAGCTAAATCTGCCTATTGCAGATCTTCCATTAGGCTTGAAATATTATCTAAATTATTAATTAGACATTAACTAACTTAACAAGAATCGATACCATCGGATGGCTGCGATATAAGTAGATGTACATACGTTTTGTGGCCGATGCGGTTACCGTAAAATGGATAATTGAGACTTTGCTTATTATCGTTACAACGGTATTAATGACAATCGAGGTTCGGTTATAATTGTATCGCCGATATTGCCTCACCGCACACTGCATTGCGTATGTCCGTCTTCATTATCCCAGTAGGAGCAGAACAGTGGGACGTTAAACTCCATTTCATTTCATTTAGGTTTAACGTCCACTCGACACAAACTAGGTCATTTCGGGACTAACACAGGGTTCAATTTTATTTCAAGAATTTCTTTAGCAGTGCGAGGGAACCGGAGGATCCAGAAAAAACCCACGAGGTTGGACAGGCGACCCTTCTTCTTGTCACGTACAACCGGAGAATCGAAACCACGCAAGTTGACTCAATGACAGACCTTATGATACGTGCGCAACCGCTAACCACTCGGACATTCAACGCCCCTTTATGTATATGCATGGCGTATTAAAATTGAGAAAGTCAGAATATCAACATGAGACTGTTCTAACCATTCAGATTTGGTATCATCTTATATGCATACAAAAACTATAATAGCTTGTCAACACGCCAAAGAACTTTACAAAATCTAAAAGTACGAGTTATGTGTTTTGAAACTATAAAAGTTTGAAAAACGCCGAAGAACAGACTCGATCCTTAGACTAAATACCATGAATATCAAAGTACGAGTGAAGACTATAAAAGTCCGTCAAATTCAAAGACAGATATGATCCCCAGACTAAACAGTCAAAATACGAGTTATTCTTACGAAAACTATAAAAGTTAAAAAAAAAGTCAAAGGAAGACTCGATCCTCAGACTAACTATCACGAATCCCAAAGTACGACTACGAGTTATGTATACGAAAAGTTTGAAAAACGTCAAAGAAAAACACTCGATCCTATGTATCACGAATCTCATAGTACGACAAATGTCAAAGAAAAGACTCGAATCTCGGACTAACTGTCACGAATCTCAAAGTACGAGTTATGTATAGGAAAACTATAAAAGTTTGAAAACGGCAAAGAAAAAAATTCGATCCTAGGTATCACGAATCTCGCAAAGTACGACAAAGTTTGACAAATGTCAAAGAAAAGACCCGATCCTTAGACTAACTATCACGAATCCCAAAGTACGAGTTATGTATACGAAAACATTAAAAGTTTCAAAAACGTCAAAGAAAAAAACCCATCCTAGATATCACAAATCTCACAATGTACGACAAAGTTTGACAAATGTCAAAGAAAAGACCCGATCCTCAGACTAACTATCACGAATTCCAAAGTACGAGTTATGTATACGAAAACATTAAAAGTTTCAAAAACGTCAAAGAAAAAAACCCATCCTAGATATCACAAATCTCACAATGTACGACAAAGTTTGACAAATGTCAAAGAAAAGACCCGATCCTCAGACTAACTATCACGAATCCCAAAGTACGAGTTATGTATACGAAAACATTAAAAGTTTCAAAAACGTCAAAGAAAAAAACCCATCCTAGATATCACAAATCTCACAATGTACGACAAAGTTTGACAAAGGTCAAAGAAAAGACTCGATCCTCGAACTAACTATCACGAATCTCAAAGTATATATAGTTATGCATACGAAAACTTTAAAAGTTTGAAAAACGTCAAAAAAGACTCGATCGAATCTCAAAGTACGACAAAGTTTGACAAATGTCAAAGAAAGGACCAGATCCTCAGACTACAAGCTTTGAAAAGGAATGTCTTACCTTGCGAACTCTTCGCATTTTATGTTTTTCTTGTTTTTCTTCTGATCCCATTTCGAATATTAAAAACAAATAAACTTTTCTCCAAAATTCTTGCGTTTTATATATCAAAGTAACCAGTCAAAATAACATCCATTAAACAGCTGACGGCAATAAATTACAAAAAAAATCCGGCTAAATAGCACTAATTCCCACTTGAACCATTGAACACATTTTAATTACGTATCAATATTAAGGCACAACACACAACGAATGTCTGCAAGTCATGCCTCAGAAAGCCATTCTGAAGCAGCAGCGACGGTCATTCCCACTCAATAAAGCCATACGTTGAGAACAACCCAATACAATTCAGTATTAACTATACATACATCATTCCCCAGTCTAAACTAAACACCAACTACAGAATCGTGTATACACGACCGTTTGTATTGATTAAGATGTTTGAATTCGTCTTCCCAGTAGTCCCTCCTAATGTGACTTACAACAGCACGGAATTGGTTAAGATTCCTTAAGTACCACAAAGCTATACATTACAAAACAAATTGGACAGATTTAACGATTTAAACAACAACAAATCATTCCCAGATAATTATTTTAGTATTTTAGTCAGACTCTCTACAATTCCGCTGCATGAGAACTAACCGTAGGAAGATTTTGCGAAGAACGTTATTAGTTCAGATAAAAACAGAAGTTCTCCCCAGGCTAACTGGTGTGAAATACTCCACAGAAGAGTTCTTATCAAACAATAGTCGTATTAAGCAATCTCTCTAGCACACTATTTGTTTATCACACGAACTGGCTGCAGGCAAATTATTACAAATAATTTATTTCTGGAAGCACACATTGTGAATTGCCAATTGAAAATACGCACTAGATAGCAGTAAGATAAAAAGAGTAAAATTTAACCATATTTTAGTCCCGAAATGATCTGGATTTTGTCGAGTGGGCGTTAAACCCCTTTTCTCTCGCTTTACTCTCTGAGTCACCACGGCTCACGTTTAATAACATATCTGATTAATATTTGATTAAGTGGATGATGTTCTTCAGACGATAACAAGAACATTCAATTTCTAGTACAGGAACATAGCCATTAATAAGATTATGAATAATAATTTATAGATAAATATTGCCATTTAATACAGAACTCCTACTGAATAAATGATGGTGTTATAATATTCAGTATAATCATAGATCCCATTAAAACTATTTATTAAATCAGTTTAAATCTAGTATAAATCTGAGAATACAAATTGGCTGATAATATTCATTGTTGTTTATAGCCATATCTAAAGGGGAAGTCCCATATTTCACAGGACACCGTAAATAAAAAAAAATATATAAGGTCTGTCATTGGGGGGGATGACCGAAAGGTTAGCCTGTGCGCCCTGTATCATAAGGTCTGTCTTCGAGTTGATTGGCGTGGTTGTACGTGACAAGAAGTAGGGTCGCCTGTCCAACCTCGTGGGTTTTCTCCGGGTCCTCCGGTTTCCCCCCACTTCTAAAGACCCCTACGCCCAAGCGAATTATTGAAATAATATTGAACTATATGTTAGTCCCTAAATGACCTATTGTATGTCGAGTGGACATTAAACCCCATCTCTCTCTCTCTCTCTCTCTCTCTCTCTCATTTGGGCCCTCGACTCGATTAGACAGCGGGACAGTGCTCTTACCACTTGCCTTCCACCACTCCCTATGTTTATGACGCTAGGTCGAATGAATTAATGCGTCGTCTTTGAGCAAAGTGTCTTGGTTTCGATCTCAAACTTTCTACGTGACAGGGAGTAGGTTCGCCTGTCCATCCTCGTCAATGAGAAATGGAGGGATAACTTTTGAACTTGGATTTTAGACATGTCACGTTCATTAAAGGATCAGTCTCCGATGAATTTTTGTGAATAAAAATGGATAATTGAAAGTGATATATAGACTGTGCAGTCAACTAGAATTTGGCAGATTTTTGGAAAACGAATATTACAATTTGAAGCAATGAAGTAAGCTCTGGTTATTACTACAATAAATCATTTCTGTGACAGATATATTTGTCCACCTTTTTTCATCTACAATCAAACCAATCTAATTAAAACTAGATTTTATTTTCGTTCCGTATTTCCGATTCGTCACTCCATTAATTTCTAAAAACATCCCCCAGAACAGCAAAGCGAGTTCGGATCTGCGATGACAGCATAACAATGCCTTTGATCTTAATAGATATCCTAATAATCTCGTGTATCAAAGCGCTATTTTCTGTAACGTGTATCTTGATTGGTTGTTTGACCTGGAATCGACCAATCATAATATGTACATTTCCCAAAGAGATCCATCCTCGGTATCCCCATGAGTGGTCTCATTCCGCAATACCATGGGTTCATCTATCGGTTATTCACGTATTCTAACTATCTGCCCTTGATCGTAGCTTGATTCTACGAACCAATCAAATACAATTTACAAACCAGTCTTATCCCTATTGCTTACATTCACAACAATATGGCGGCTTGTCTGTTGCAGCAAGATGACAGTTACTTCCCTTCGCCAACTTCCTTTATATTTAACGATGTTTTGGATTGGTCGATACAAATAGCATAGTCATCAAGGTCAGATAAACCCTGTGGTTAGTGGAGTGGAACGGACTAAGATCACTCGGGATACCGAGGATGAAAGAGATCTATAATGAAATGTATTTAAACCACCAAGACAAAGAGGACTTACAAACCAGTCTTATCCCTATTGCTTACATTCACAACAATATGGCGGCTTGTTTGTTGCAGCAAGATGACAGTTACTTCCCTTCGCCAACTTCCTTTATATTTAACGATGTTTTGGATTGGTCGATACAAATAGCATAGTCATCAAGGTCAGATAAACCCTGTGGTTAGTGGAGTTGAACGGACTAAGATCACTCGGGATACCGAGGATGAAAGAGATCTATAATGAAATGTATTTAAACCACCAAGACAAAGAGGACTTACAAACCAGTCTTATCCCTATTGCTTACATTCACAACAATATGGCGGCTTGTTTGTTGCAGCAAGATGACAGTTACTTCCCTTCGCCAACTTCCTTTATATTTAACGATGTTTTGGATTGGTCGATAAAAATAGCATAGTCATCAAGGTCAGATAAACCCTGTGGTTAGTGGAGTGGAACGGACTAAGATCACTCGGGATACCGAGGATGAAAGAGATCTATAATGAAATGTATTTAAACCACCAAGACAAAGAGGACTAAACAAACGAAAAACAAAACAAAATGAAATGATGTTATAATTTTATTCAGACACGGAATCCCACAATAACGACTTGGCGTTTAGGTGACGTTTACGAAACGAGTTTCCATTTTAATTTAATTCATACTAATTTAAAAGACAAGACCCAATGAAAACACCCAATGAAACGGTCGTCATAGAATATATAAATAAATAAAACGCATTACAATCTGAGTTTCATTGGACAAGTCCAAAGCAGAATATTATATTTTTTCCATTATGTAAACCAATTATAGACTATCTTTTATTGCCTCAATTATGTGAATTAAAAATAGCAAAAGCAGATAGAAATCGTCGCACTTCCTTCTTTGACCTCGTGATTTTTATAAGTTAATGTATTCATTTAAAGACAATCCAGATTTCTCCATGGACATAAGGTAACAAGGAAAGATGTCTTAATGAATGGTGTAGAAAAGCTTATGTCTACTGTACACAAGAAAGCTATAATTTAGAGGAGGTCAATAGGAATCATTTTGTCACCTTGGAACAAAAAAGGGAAATGTCTTTGTATGGATAATGCCGTTAAAGGAAATGGAGAATTGTTACAGCTACTAAAATCAACGTTTAAAACCTTTCTAGACACGACCGTTCAAACACAGAACCCAATTAAAGATGAAGTCATGAGGCTACTGGCGGAACTAGAACTAGCAATTGCTAATTGAAGGGAATATAAACAGTTAACTTCGACACACAAAACAAACAAATTTGATCGATTTTAACAAACACATCGCGATTTTCAAACACTGGGACGCCATATTGAAGGATATTATAACGCTGAGAGGTTAAAACTAAGTTTAAGTATTTAAACGATGTTATCTTGAATTTTTCTAAAAGTCGACCCTAGCAGCTGTTTTTATTGTCTATATTTTGTAAGAATATGGAGCCACACTAGTTCAGTGGTGAGCATGGCGCGGACTTATTAACCAGACATTGCCGGGTTCGATCCCCGTAAAGGTTTCTTGGAATTTCCTATCCTGATTTCCAAGGTGTTGAGGATGCTGGATCGGGGGCCTGGCACTTCTCCGCGAAGACCGTAAAAACCCAACTTCCTGTAAGCTGGGTTTTGCGTTAAATCTCATTTCATTTGATTTTGAATACATCACTTCTCCTTTAACCGGATGTTATAGAGACCATTCAAGCGAGCTAACTGAACAATTAGGATGAAGAATTACACGTGTAGCTCTGTACGACTGTAGTTGACATGAAGAAAATTGAAAGCGCTGTTTTCATGCATATACAGCAAAAGTAAATTGCTTAATTTGTAAACATACGAGTCGAGTTTTCCCAAGTCGCACAAAATAAATTACATATGTCCTAGACTATGATTTCTGGACCCGAGTTCACAAAGCATTCTCAGACGTTAAGTTAAGAATTTACTCAAAATTGTTCGCTTTATTTGAACTAAAAGATAGCCCTTTATAAAACTTTTGTTGTTTTAAAGTATCAAATACATCAGTAAGAAACTATGTGCAAAGTTTTATGTTTCTGGATCAAAGATATATCTCATAAACAGTGATTGAAAGTTGAGTAAATTCTTAACCTAAGTCTGAGAATGCTTTGTGAACTCGAGGCCAGGTCCCACAAGTCTCCCCCCTGGGGTGTAGGGGGTGATAAGAATATACCCTTCGTATTTCCTGCGTGTCGTAAGAGGCGACTAAAAGGATCCCTGTAATGGGGCAACGTGTTTGCCGTGCATTGCGACCCGTGTCGGTGGAGAGTGGAATCCTGGTAATTGAGTGGGGATTTGGCTTGCGAGCCCTTTCTCTGCAACACATTGCTTCGGCCCACAATTCACCTAGACGGGAGGTCAGAGTGGCCCGCTCTGATCAATCGGCTTTGGTCGTGTTTAGCTGACGAGTAGGCGCATCTTTTCCACTATTCTGTAATGTATTTGTTGCAGATCTACCTTTGTGTCCTACGTGCCTACTCTAAAGCAGCGGCTTGGGTCAACTAGGTAGAGTAAAAATATTTAATCTTTACTTTGTCTAGGTATATCCCTGTCTGTCCTCGTAGGGCGCATGCGCTGGATATCCGCGCAGTAGCCTGCATTGATATTGTAACCCTTTGGTGGTTGGAGAGCAGGCAGGGATGAATCTTTTAAATTACTCAAATGGCTTCTCAAACCAAGAAGACTCGTACTACCAAACGTATGTCGACCGAGGATTTAGAACCATTACCAATAAAAACTTCCCGAACCTGGCCTAGATTTCTGGTCATACAAAGTACTAACGATATCAATCTTAGTAAAACATCTCCTTTTTTGATTGCTAAAGGTCTTGCTGGCTTGGCTGGTGAGCCCAAAAGCGTCAAGAAAATGAGAAATGGTACTTTGTTAGTGGAATGTGCTAAAGAATCACATGCTACTTCATTATTAAAATCAAAGACTTTAGCCAACATTCCTATCAAAGTTGCACCGCATAACTCTCTA